TTTGTTCTTTCGATTGGGATAGTTGAATTTCCGACAACAAGTGAAAGGTATAAAATCCAAATTTCAAGTTCAAGAGGCTGTTACTGCTCACGGAAAGTAAATAATACTGAGTGATCACCTCTTCCATCCAAGTATACTGGTTCCTCGTTAGTGTTCTTTACTAGAAAATTTTCCAAATTACAAATTTTGAAGAGTTGGAAAATTAATTTTATTATCTCACTAGATAGCCAAATGACCTCAACAATATGATACAACAAGATTCTAATCTATCTTCAACTAGTGTGGCATGTCCGTGGGGGACATGTGTTAGACACGTCGAATATCGACACTCCTAAGACATTCTACTCATTTTTCATTTTTTTAATCAGAAATATTATATATTTTTAACTTAAAGTTATTAATAAATAATAAATAGATACTCATATTTAAAACATTTCAGCAAGAAAAGTTAATAACAAACATAAAATTAAATATATACTTTACGAATGAATAATTTTAAAGAATTTAATCAACGTTCCGCAATATTTTAAAGAATAGCTGTCGACATGTCCAACACGGACACGTATCGGTGCGTCATATAATCAAATTGGTATCAAAATTCAATTATAAAACCCATGAATAGTGTTATAAAATGAAAATTTTACCTTCCCCTGCTGCAACATTCTTCTCTGTGTAAGTTGTATTTTATGATGAACTTCTTGAAGCATTTCCCTGAGTTGCTCTAATTTTGCATCCAGCATTAGTACATCAGATGGATCTGATCCTTCATTATAGTTCTTAATTGAGGAACGATGCTTCAAATCCTCAATCTTTCTCATAATAGATCTTGCCTGGCTCTAGACAGATTTGAAAGGAAAAAGAAACCAAAATCTAATTAGTGAATGGCTGCCAAAAGAAGGTAAATAATGTCAGACTTTAAACCAATGCACCAGTAAGAAGTAAATTTTAGATTTTCTAGTCAGATGTGTTTCTCTATCAAATATATCTAACACCAAGTACTCCTATCTATATGTTAAATCAAGGGAATTACAAAAAGAAGGTGAAAACCAATCAATGGTAGAAACATAATGAATGCACAGAAATTTTGGACATTTGCTGTTCTACTAATACTGCTAAAATTAGATGATGAAGCTAACAAGTTAAAAGGGATATTTCTCTCCAACCAAAATTAGGCACTCGAAATTTGGAATTTGTGATGAAGCCAAGCCATGCAAAGTGCATTCTAATTAGCTTATTTTCCTGGTTCTAACATTATCTAGAGAAGGCTGAAAAATGTCTTTTGTTAAAACATCAAGATCAAAATCATATAAGAATGTTTCATGTATCTGACCTAAGACAGGCTCTCCATCCCACCACAAGGAATTGTTATACTTGCACATGTAGAAGGATAAAAAGACAGAGGATTTGAAATGACGCATATACGAATAAGATAGCCACAAAAAATCTAAAACTGCAGAAAATAAATTATTATACAGATATGACGACGCACTTGACCCACAATATTTCAGGACAAGTTTCAGCAGGGCTGTAGAGCATGTTTTTCAAACCACTGAAGGAATGAAAAGAGAGGTCGACGAGTTCCATACCCTTGTGTGAAGAGATAAAACTAGAACTCAACAAAAGGCAAAAGGGTTCTTGAAATCAATAATACACTAAAAATAAACAGGCAGGAGTTGGGATCACAGTGCTTTTATATATGTTCAATCACCCTTCATGCTCTGAACATATATTGGCTTTTGGTAGAAACAAATTGCTGAACATGTAGCTTTACAGAAACTGAAAAGCAGTCTTTGCCAGTCAATGTAAGGTACTATGTACAGTTGAGTAGGCGGCACATAATCAGATTATCTTTTATTCTCCAAACAATTTGTTGAAAGAAAACCTTATAAAAGTAGCAAAGTTAGACTAACAGTGTCACAGTATATCCTTACAAGTAAATTCTTAAGATCCTTTCCATCATATAGGATTTGATATGATCGATATGAACGTGGATGATACTTGGAAAAAAAATGATCTACACAGCATCCACAAGCCTTGTGCTCATCACAAGGTGGGATTTCTCGAACTAACACAGTGAACTGATTAGGCTGATGCCTCAAATCACGAAGCTGCTGAAGTCGTTTCAGGGAAATATCATCATATTCCTGGAGATGTTATAGGAAATAAAGTCAACTGATATAACACGTTATCTGATATCAAACTGCAAAACAATATGTTTAATATAATTTCACCAGACTTCTTTATTTTCATATTATTAAACAACTACCAGTTGGTAACATATTATGGTTGTGTATGGAGGGATTTTGTTCTCTGTCTGCTCTAGAGGTGAGAGGCAAAAGTGAATTGGGGTCCGTTGTTTGACACATTTTACTTTCGAAACAAAATATGCTAAAGTAATAATATGCCAAATGAGTCAAATTGGAGGAGGAAATGATTGAAGGGCATAGGACCTAATGGAAGTGATGATTTGGACAGTTTGATTCTTGGAATTCATTCAATGCCATTATGCAGCAGATAGAAATAAATTCCACTGCTGGAAAGTCTCTGAGATAATTAAACATAAGGGTTGGTAAACATTGTTATTTCATTCTGAAACTTTATGGAAATCTAGGGAAGTGTTTTCATAAATTTAAACATAATGAAACAAGTTCAGAAAAAGAGAAAATGATGCCAAACCAAAGATTCTTGAAAATAGATTTTAAACCACAAGGATCAAGTATCTGAGTGAATGACTACCTTGTATAGTAGGTATGATCCGTAACAAGATACGAAGTATAAGCATAACAAGTGTACCCAAAGCCTGTTGAATAGCAATAACTCCATAAGAATCCATAAAAATTAATTTAAATACATATTAGGAAGTAAATTACACATATAGCCATGACAGATTCAAGGGAAACCATATAGTTCCATGAGACACCATTGGGTTTGCATATTGAACCCAACCTTTGCCAAAATACTTGAATTTTTTATTGGAGGGCTTGTGTTCAGTATGGTTCTTCAAATTGGAATGCACTGAAAAGAGAGAATTGCATACCGGTGAAAAACAAGTATACAACTAGAGAGTGAGAAACTTTAAGTTCTTTCACCTAACCAAGGTTCAATGCAATTAAAGGTTCTCTCAAATTATGCATGAAACTTCATGAAATAAGAATTGATCCTAATTTTTCCTGACAAACAAATTTAAGTAATAAGAATAAATGATCCAAAAAACTCAGACTATGATCCAAGGTCCTACTGTCAGTTTGTCAAGGAACCAAATGCGGGTAGCCATGGAGATTATTAGTTAAGTGACACCCAAGTATTCAGATATCAGCTAAATGCAGGATTTGCAGGCAGTAGATTTGAATCCATAGCTGACTTGGGTTTTAGTTGCCCTTTTCCACTCTTGGCTTTTCATAGCTGACTTGTGGGCTTTTCAATTTGCACGATATCAACTTCCATCCATTCTATTGCAGATGTTCTTTGACGACTATTATTGAGAGCTCCATAAGTCGATATTAAGGATGTTTTTAGAATTGGGACCTCAGAGTTCCCAAGTCTAGGTTGTATCAACTGTCGAATCTTAGATCATTATTACTTAAAATTTCTATAATCTCGTGGACAAGGATAGCAGAGAGTCCTTCCAAACAATATTTTAACTGCATATAGTCATGTGTAGAGTCCTTTCACATTTTTCAACTTCACCACCTCAGGTAAGGAATCAGTATGTTGAATGCGATTACTTATTTTTTTGAATTCAGAGAAATGTTAAGTGATTGAAACTTTATTTACAGGCTACTACATTGTCTATATTATTCATCTACATAAACACTAGAGTCTCACATTTGGGAGTTTTGGAATGCTGTGATGTAAATGTAACAAACAAATAAGATCAACATAAAGTATACATACTCAACATACCATAACCAGAGGCCATGTATCACAGTTTATAGTTTCATCTACAGAACTATAAAATTCTCCCTGATATATAAACACACAGAATTAAGTTCAATCTGAAAGGAATTCTACTAGTTGAAATAATTAATCTATAAGAATTTTTTTTTTTTTAGTTCAAATAAAAGGGTATCCTTGAAGACTATTAAAAAAGAATGCTGCAAGATTGGAACACAAAAAGGTTAAATACGGGTTAAGACTTGAGTTCAACTTATTAAACAAAGTTACCAGTTAGAGCCTTTACTAATATTTGACATTGTAAAATAATCCATGGAATGAGGAAGCCTGGATGGCCCTCCACCGCCAGCATTATAGTTTACAGGAAGCAGTACCAACAATCCCACCAGGGAGCAGACCACAAAGAAGTTGATCCTGCAACATTACTCTTAACTGAAATTAGCATTGCATACAATCTACATCTCTACAAACATAAGCTTAAAATAAGAATAAAATATTTGGCGGAACGCAGTGTCCACACTCATACATTTGCACAAAATTAGAGAAGGTAGAACATGCCATCTGATCTTTCTACTAGAATTATTTCAGAAGCATGTAACTTGCAATTTACACTGAGTATTTGCATAATTGTCGACTGTAGGACCCTTTATTTGATGAATCATATGTTTATTAATAAATTTACTGTTGGAGGTGAAGTGAAATGTGAGGAAAGAGAAATTCTGAAACATTACTCAAAAATCAGTCATTGTGCGTAGGGATGGGCAAAACCCAACCGAACCCTCCAAAACTGCTCAAATCGAACCAACCCGACCAGGTTGGGTCGGTTTTTTGTTGTTGTTTTTACACAAGTTGGATGGGTTGGCTATGTTGGCAGGTCGGGTCAGGTCAGGTTATGGGTTAACTCATGAAAATCGAATAAATCCGCGCAACCCAACCCGCCACTTTAAAAAAAAAAATAAAATAAAATAAAAGAAATAAAATGACTAGAAAAGTAAAATAAACCTAAAAAGTATGAGTAAATAGTGTAAATGTAATTTTAGATGAAGAGTTTACTGTTCTTCTCACAAGAAATGTAATATAAGTTTTCCATGTTATGTTAAATGCACTTTGCTCTTTGTAGACTCGGTTAATGAGAATTGAATAATATAATAGATAACTTTATTTATTTACTTACTATTTAATCTTATCTATTCGAATTTAGTATAATAAAACATTGGATGACTTTAATTTTTGTTGACAAGTCGTCACAAACCGACCAACCCAACCCAACCCGATCGATACTTGATTGGGTTGGATTGGGTTTCAACCTTTACACGGGTTGGGTTGGGTTTGGGTTGAAACAAAAACCGACCCAACCCAACCCATGCCCACCCCTAATTGTGCGATTGCATTAAAACAAAAAATTATTGGACTACCATGAGCCCCGACCATCATACATTTCTTCAAAGAGTGCACACATTCATCGACATACACTTAATCAATGCATGTCGAAGAACACTATTTATCTGAATTTAAAAAGTCTGACGAGGACAAGTACATCGTGTTGGAAAATTCTAACATATTTGGGGCCACACGTAATATATTAAAATGTGTGGTGTTATTATTTAAAGAAAATTAGTCAATTAAAGTGATCCACTAAAGATGAATTTTGACTAATGGGTATTAATTTTCATGTAATTAAAGTGTAGAGACCGAATATTTGTTTTAGATTNACCCATCTATGTTAATAATCAGAAATCTATAGATCAATGTATGTTTATGCTTCCGCTATTTTGTTATTTTCTCTAGTTGCAACATTGAGTTTTATTTAGGGTTTATATGTGAAAAAAGATTTGATTAAAGCATATGAATCTATAATCCCTTTAATGTTTTCTATCAAATGGTATCAAAGCCACTCTATGGTTGATTCTTGAAAAATTAAAGTTTTAAAAAATTCTGAATTTTTGGATTTGATCTACTTGTTTTATGGAATTTGGAATTATATTGCATGAAATCAAACATGTTATTGGATGGATTATGATATAATTAAAGTTTTTCTTCATATAAAGTTGGATTTTTTGAATTAAGATTTTACAGATCTGTTATAAGAAAAAAAATTTCGCTGCTGGCAGCAGGGTTTCAATTTGGAATTTGAGGGGGCGGAGGCTTAGGCTACAAATTTGAAGTTTTGGGGCCCTGCTTGCAATTTATAATCCCTTTAATGTTTTCTATCACATCGAGGCCGATGTTTTCAAGGATTTCATCTTCGGATACCTTTAAAGAGTTGGGAATCCAACCAAAGGCGGGACAAGCCCGAGAAAAAAACCTGAGTGAAGAAAGGAGATATGATATCTAACAGAAATACGACGTGCATAGTATATAAATGCATTGGAAGGCTGCTTCTTTAACACGGAATAAAGTAAGAGGAGGATCAAAGCCAGACCAAGATTTATGGCAGCAGAAGCTAATAACGAATTACCTTCCACATCTGTCTTGAGAGAAATCTGAGTGACAATTAAGGTTCAAATTCTGGCACGTGGGACTGAGTCATACTTATAAACTGTAAGCGAGACGTGGCAAATTTTAACAATTCCTAGGATCTTCTTTATTTGTAGATTAAATTTCGTGAAGAAGATTGAATCCGGGCTTGCGATTAGACCAACAGTTTCCAAATATAGCACTAGTAACTATAATTTAAACTTTTAATTGTTATCATTTCATCACTCCATATCATTTGAAAAATAAAATATTAAGTCGCCACATTATTAAAATCGTTAATTTTCAAACAGAAGGAGATGAAATGACAACAATATTGAAATTACAATGATTATTTGAAAAAAAAATTAAAGTTAAGCATTCAAATTGCCACGGACGCACCCCGTACTAACATAGCATACAATTTAATTATCTTATCAGACACAGTCTATTTAAAAAATAAAAGATAAAAAATTGCCAAATTACTTACCCAAATTTAAAAAGTCTTATTAAGACTAAGACATCTAGACCGCAGGTTTCAAGAATCTCCTCCTCAGAAACACTGTAGGCACGGCGAATCCACTCCACCGACGGAAGCAATCGTCGAAGAGTGAGGTGGCGGTCGAAGGACAGGCGGTGGTGCTGCGACAGGCGGCGGGGATAATATATGGTGGAATTTGAAGGCTGTTTTCTCAGTATTGAGAACACTGTAAGAATCAGCAAAGCTAAACCTATATTTATGGCAGCCGAGACAAGAAGCCCCTCTGCATTCATCTTTTCTTTTCTAGACCAGGCAATAAATTAATTAATGTTGTTGAGACATTTGCAAGTTCATTTTATAGTTCTGTAAATCGGTAAATGTATTATGTAATATGAAAAGAAAAGAGTTTGGCAGTGTGGAGAGAAACGTGGCGAGGGTAGAGTAGAGCAAGATGTTATTGCATGCAGAATTAGTTGGCAAAATTTGTCAGCTTTCAAAATTTAAGAAATTGGGTAACTATTTTCTAATTTTTTGTCTCTCTTCATTTGTAATTTTACTACAATCGATTTTCCGCTTGTACAATTGATACGTGACAATCTAGAGATGACAGTGATAACATATAAGTAATAATGACAATATTTTTAAATTAAATAATTTTATGATGCAACTATTACATGGAAATTTTCTTAGGTATGGTTGTGAATTAAGTTCCTATTTGGCTCTTATTTTTAAAAATTTATTTTTCGTTAAATTCATTTTAATTACACATATTATGAGATCCATAAGTTTTATTAAATTTTCAACCACACATTTCATTGACTTTTCACAAAATTTATTAAAAATCTAATTTTTAATTAAACGAGAAATAGACTAAGTAATTTTTATTAATTTGAGAGACTTTTAGTGATGAAATGATGAAAATTAAAATTAACAACATATTTGAGCCCAATTTTTGTCCAAAATGTATTTTATAATAGTATTCTGTTGGAAAATGTGTGTTTGAAATATTAGGAATTTTTTTGAATTTATGTGTAATATTAATATATTAAAGAATGCATCGTTAAAAATAAGAGCGAGAGAGATGTATTTTGAAAATAATAAATATCAAACAAGGACTAAATTGAAGTTTAGTATTTTAAATGGAAAATTATAGCAGCAATCTCTAACTTTTAAGTTTTTCACATATTTTACCCTAACCTTCACTTTGTGCCATTTGCGATCTCAAATTTTTCAAAAATTCACACCTGTGGTCCAAATAGATGGAAACGATTAATTGTTAGTTGATTAGAGAAATTGATTTTGACCAAGGAGTTGTGACTGTGATATACAAATTACATATAATTGAATTTTAAATCATTCGTGGTCGTTAGTAATAACGAAATATATATATCGTTATTACGGATAGACCATTATGTGTAGCATTTCTTACTTGTGAAGTAAGTATCTGATCTTACAAAGTAAAGTGTGGTGATACTTAAATGAACAGTAGATATAGAACAAAATATCAGAGACTCGCTGGGAGATTCCACATGGATAACTATGTGAGTATCGGTGGTTAATATCTACCGTTCAATAGTAAAATTGGTCATTTGATTTGAGGTCATCATTGTAGCGATCGAGAACTTTTAAATAATATAAAATTATTTCTCGAAAAACGTATCGCTCGACTGTAACCCTAATTTTAAAGAGATAGAGTGTTCGTCTAGCCGTTGTAAACAAAGTTAAATTATTTCGAATCGAGTCCAAATATCGAATAATTATTTTAGTATCAGTTCCGATTTATTTTATTTTTAGAATCCAATTTATTTAGTCCGTTACAATTAAGTCCAATTATGTTGGACCAAATATTGATGTTTAGGCCCAAACCATTTAGGCCCAAACTAAAAGAATCC